GCTCGAAGTGAGTCTCCGGTCTGGAATTTTTCCACTATATAACTAGTAAGCAAATTTACTCTTGATTTCTCGAACTCTTGATCTCTCAAAACCCTTGATCCCTCGAAGTCAAAATGCAGACCCGTTATGCATATTCTATTAGAATTTACCCTCGATACCTCGAAGTGGCTATGTGTATACAAGATTATATAATTAGCACCTTTACCTGGACATTTAAATGACCCCAGGCAGAAGACGCGGGTCTCGAGGAACGGGATGTTTATTCAGGTGACACTATGCTGCAAGGTGATAATTGATTTATAATTAATCATATTTTGCCTATATGCTATCAAAATAATTATCATCGACTGTCTTACAATAATTTAGAGACGCACTGTCATTGAAAAGCAGTAATTGATTAAAAGACAAAACACTAATTTAATTTTTATTTCGAGTCAGTGTCAAAGTTAAACGAAATATGAAAAAAACAGAAACAGCCTCAATGTCAATATGACGACTATTATTGGACAAATACTTACAGAACTGCATTCAATGATCATTTTTTGAATAGTCAAAGCTATGTACGATGGTGTAAAATGCTGTTTTCATGAAACGAATGCATAGTATAATGTCTGTATTACAAAGAATAAATAAATAAATATGAAATGACGATATACATTTTTTGCTTTACTCAGTTTAATGAAATATTCATCAGAATTACGAAAAAATATCGTTGTTTTATAAAAACCACGTGTAAAAGGTTAGCACTGCATGAAAATCATTACATCCGGTAAGACTAATTTTAAAACCTGTCAACAAACCTGGAAAATTCCAGACTCTTGAAAACTCGAACTTTTGATCTCTCGAAGTTTTTCCTCGGTCCCGCGGACTTCGAGGTATCGAGAGTTACCTGTAGTATTGTTTTTGAATGTGACAGCCATAAAAATTATTTTACACTTAACTGAAGAAATTTTGACCCCCATCCCCAATACTCCCTGTCTGTTATATGATAGGAATATTTATTTATTAAGGTCTCAAGACTAGTATATATTTGAAAACAATTTCTACACATTCATGTTACACATATTTTAAAAAAAAAAAAAATGAAGATATACATATCTTAAAAGAGTTTTAAAAAAATGATTTTTTTTAAATTTGTATTTTGACCAACATCTCAAAATTTATATCACTGCATGGCCCCAACTGGCAGACGATAAAATAAACAATTTAAGGTTCTACCTTCCTATTTGTAACCATTGTGTGACCAGTGGCAAGGAGCCTGTTAGGAGAGTATCAAAAAAGAAGCAAAAATAAATGAACAAAAGTCATTAATTTATACAAAAAAATTATTTCATTTTTTTTTTATTTCCTCCTCCTACGTATAGGTCTAAATTTGAAGCCCTTCATCAGCATACGTTGACGTCTCTATATGAGTGAAAATTTCTCGAATGGGGCACTAAACACCGTTTACAAAAATATGTATTACCAGGTTTCATTGAAATTAGGCAAGAACTAAAGAGAAGAAACTTGCTTGACGAAAACTAAGGTAACAATTTCTTCAAAATGTCCTTTAAAAAATTCTCAACAGTATTTACCACTTTGAGAAAGTGTCATATGTTGGTTAAAGTTTCAATACATTGTATATCCTTTCAAAAGCCAAATACTCTGCATCAAGAAAATGCATCTTTAATGTGTTTACAGAATGTGCATTGGGATTGATCTCACAGTGTCGAAAGGTCACAGTGCAGGGGTCAACCGAACACAAAGAATGCAAGAAAGATTTTTTTTGCTCTAGGATGCAATTTTTCTCTCCTTAATTTCCTTCTTCCTTTTTCACTTTTCATTGAGTTTTCTTATGCTGCCTAAGTTGAGAACCTGCCTATCAAGCAGAACCTATACTGGCTGTGGAAAGGAAACAAGTTATACGAAATGTCTATTTACCGGTATTTAGAATGTTTCTTCTGATCAAATCTTTCATCACTAAAGAATTCATTACATACAAAGCTTTGCATGCTATAAATTATTTAAGAAAATTACTAACATTGAATGTGTATCTTATATGCACTTGAAGTCATACTTGGCTACATGTGACATACATGTATGTTCTTAGCAACATGTGCTATATAACAAAATGGGACACCTAGAACACCTGTTTATCTTAACATATATATATATATATATATATATATATATATATATATATATATATATATATATATATATATATATATATATATATATATATTATAGGGCTGCGACGATACAACTTTTTCTATATATATATATATATTTGCAGCATGCTTGCTAATAATTACAAAACACTGGCAATCAGTTAAATTGGATGATATGCTTTATAAGCTGTTAAAAAAATTGATTAAATGTGCAGTGTAATGAGAACATATAAAGTTGTTAACTAAAGTTATATACGCAGAATTGCCTTAAAGGACAAGATTAGAACAAGGTCCCTTTTTCGCCCATAGCTGGTTTGGGTTGTCTATAAGAATGATGCAACAGTTCATAATCAAAAACCTGTTGTCATCCCTGTTACAAAATGAATATTAATTCTAAGAGGTCAAGAAAGGTCACAGAATTTCTCCATTTTCAAATGTTCTCCTTTTTCAAAAATTTTTCATCAATTTTAAAGCACATTCTGTTTGAAAAAACACAGAGCACATGCAAACTTGCCTATCTACCAAATTTAAATATTTCATGCACAAGAAAATCTCAGATATGCAAACTTGTGCTTTTTGTTTCCCAAAGAGAAAAGTATCAAAAATTTTATAAAATTCCATCAGTATTGAGGAAATTTGGTAAAATGTTCTACTTTGTCACCTCTTGTGGCCTCCATGTATGATTTAAATCAAAATTAATGCTGATTTTATCATTAAAAGATCTTACTTTCAAACATTTGCAATTTCTACTGTGTTTTGATGTTTTGTTAAAGTAAGGGGCAAATTCAGCCTTTACCATACCTTGTCCTTTAATATATACATAAAAACAAGTGTAGGAGGAGTCAGAATCACTGTTGAAATGGTTATTAACTCCTTATATTTTTATAGTTCATTTCCATTACTTTTACTTCTTGGGAGACAAAAGATTACTCAATAAAAGCAGGTCTTCACTTGAACTAGTTTGCTATATAAATGTTTGATTTTCTAGGGACAGAAAAATTGGAGTAATGTATACCAGCAGACAGCTACAGATCAATCCATTGTTTGAAAAAAAAAAAACCCTTTGATTTACATGTGGTAACATTTGTGTCATGGATGGGCCTAAAAGTGGGGATAATCCTCCACTCTAAGACATTATTATTCTCTATTTTTAAAACTTCATAGAAAAGATATATTTTTCAAAATGTATTATCAGTCATGTTATTTTTAACATTTAATTCCTATATTTTATTGAATTACTTACTGATTGATAATTTGTTTTTAAATTGACAGATGTGAATATTTGGTGGAAATTGGGTCCATTATAGCCATAAAAATTGGTTTTTGAATAGGAATGGGTCAATTAAGTCTCCATTCGATCTACATAAACATTTAAATGACAGGATTGTGAATTTAAAATCTATTTTACATTTAAAAAATACAGAATGTGAACCCTTTCTATGTAAAAATTGAACTTTTCGGGGGGAAAAAATTGTGAACAAACTTTCTCAAGTCACTCTGACATTACCAGTTTTTATGTCTGCACAATGGTTAATGCTTAGTTTTTGCCATATATACCCATTAGAGAGTTTGAATCCTGTAAGACTTTTGTCTGGCATTACCTTTTATATAACAATAACATTAAAATAAGTTTTGGTGTTTGTTGATTTTTTTTTTTTCATTTTAACATACTTTACAAATCTATGCCTTTTAAAATCAAGTATAAATCTCAGAAATACAGCTAATTGAGACCTATAAGAGTAATAAAAGGTGCTAGGAATTCTTAAATCCACATAATCAAGAACTTTTTTTGATTGGGCATAGAAAGGTAAGTTACACGTACATGAATTGTAAAAATAATTTGGCGAGGTCGATCAGACATGCTTTTTGTAAACTTAAGGCATCATTTGTCAAGACATTACTTTAATCTGAGACAGACTGCAGCATGGAAATTTTGGATTTTTATGCAAAGTTTTCATATCTAAGAACAATTGGGGGAGGGGGGGGGGGGTTATATACTGCCTGGTTCTTTTCCTATCAATACTGCTTCATTATCACACAAGTATATGCGATTAGCATGAACGAAAGCGACACGATATTCATTCTTATTTGTTCTACTTGGCCCTAAATATTGTCCATTCTAACACAGAGTCATAGAGATGCTTTAAAATAGTATCATGAGAAAAATATAGACTGACTGGACATGGAGACTCTCACATGGTATACCTCTTGTATAATGTAGATAGAACATTCTATCATTAACATCGAGATATACGTCATAGCCAGGAATGCACATTACATGTCAAACAAATAAATTAATTGTAACAGTATTCATAACAATTATCCTATGGACCTGGACCCTTTGATGAAGGCTTGCCCAAAGACACAGAATTTTTTTGGTCAGTTTTTGTATTTTTTTGATGAGCAGTGTAAAATATTAATTTTCACCTAAATTCCAGTAATTTAAAGGCCCCTGTACAGTATTTGGGTCTGAAACTTATCACATGTATGTGAACTTTATGCTTACAAAATTAGTCTTCAAAATTTTTACATGTATAGCAGATTGATATTTTAAAAAAGGGTATGTGTTACAAAAAGGCATCTATAACTGCAAAAACAGATTAGAATATGCATTGGAATCTACCATTAAAATAGATACTACATCAAACAATACGGCAGTGAAATTTTATATCTAAACAGAAAGACTGACAAAAATGAAAATAAATACACAGTGCAGATGGGCACAGTGATAAGAACAACTGAAAAGAAACTGCTGATCCTCAATACCACTAAGTATTGCAGAGTTCTACTCAGTGGCTTGTGCATAAAATATGACTTTATGAAATATCACTCTTAACAAATAGCACTCACTCCTTCATAGGAACCACTTCAAAATCTGCGCAAACAAAATGATTGATTGATATTGCAGTTAACTCCGACAGACTTTCAAAGTATTTTTTACATCACGTAAAACTAAACCAGTAAGGAGGCAGGATTTGACGAATGGGTATACGTGGAGTCCCTCCATAGGAAATCCACATTAAATTCGATGGCTCCGATTTACAGCAGATAACGCAACAATCGTAGTTACCACATACTGACAAATCCTACATCACTATGTTTACAGTCAAAACCTCCACACACTGCGAAAATGTAATTATGAGTATTCCGACAAGGCAATTTTTGGCGTTATAATAAAGATTTTTTGTGAAAAATAAATGTCAATATGAGAGATTACATATCTGTCTGATTCAGGAGATGCCTTCCCTTACTCTAGCAGGGTATATGCAAGGGATGCGGTGAATGGGTTCGACACTGAAGGCTCCCATTGTGTGTTGTAGGAACCTTATCTGATTGTATTATCAGCTGCTGATAGACAAATTGAAAACAGATAGAGGGAAATGCAGGAATATGGTCATTTCAGGCCAAATGCGCACTACTTTATCAAAGTTTCATTCAATGTTGTATTAAAATTTTAAGCATAAAATGTCAGGCATATCTGCACAAGAACCTCACAGCACTCCATCTTGCAGTAGATGTTTGTGTGACATTCAACCCCTTTTTTATCAACATAATTTAATAAGCCAGAACTGGTTTTTTTAAACACACTGGTCTGAATGGAAAAAGACTTGCTTGCATGTATTGATTCTTCATTTTCTTTAAAATTTGGTGTTTTTTTAACATTGAAATTTTGAATATCTTTTTTCAAAAAATGTCTCATTTTTAAAAATCATATACAAAATATATATTCATTTCAAACTGCTCTGATATTAAAGAGATGTATTCTGAATCAACTCAAAAATACATCATCAATTTTAAAATTGTAACCATTAACTAAGCAAGATCTACAAACTTATCTTGCATTGTAAATTGAAGATATATATACAATAACAATAATTTAAACAGAAAATGCATAGGAACTCCATTGCTTCCATTAGATTACTAATGGTTAAATAAAATTCAACTTCTATGCTTTAGCTCCTATAAAGAATGTCTAAAGAGTTATAATACTTCCTCAGGAATAAAATTTTAAGACACAGTCATCATCAAAGCTATCAAGCTTATGCCCAAGGCACATTTGAAAACAAAAATTAAAAATCCATATTGGCCTTCACTGCTTCAATTAATTCAGACATGCATTTTCAGATGCCCATTTTAATTATATATATACCTGAAAAACCACAAAACATGGTAGGTGGTTCTAATTATTTCTCCTTTAAAAAAAAAAATCTACATGTATCCAAGATGACTAAATTAAAATGATAACGAGATTGGTTAAAATTCAGCATTTATTCTCATCACAAGCATCAAAACGGAAGACAAGGTGGCAGAAATTGCTGGAAATTCTGACCTACTAGAAGAATGCTTCTCTGTCCTCAGAGCTGATTAATTAATTATTGCACAACATTTTTACAGTTATGCTTGGTGCATCTGTTCAGTCTATGTTTCAAGGGAGGTAAATCTCATTTAAAAACTAAATTTTGAAATCGCTTTGCTTTCAGACCTGATTCTTTTTAAGTGAATTAAATTAATGTATTTTTTTTAGGCTACAGCCATCAATATAATGGTTAGTATTGGTATACATCTATCTTATATATTCCCCCATCATCTGATTTTTATTTTTTTTAAAAAAAGTTTTATTCATTAAAAAAAACTATTTTCCTTCCAACCATCAACAAAAAAGAAATATCAATATCAACAACTAAGAAAATTGCGTCTCAATTAAAGTATACAAAAAACAAGAATGTACTTTAATGCTTATCAAACTTTATTCTTTCATATTTTGGTTTATTTTTAGCATACAATTCACCTCTATGGTAATTTAAAACAGCCTACACCTGCATGTAAAAAAAACAGGTGTAGATTAATTAAGGTTAGTTCTTGAGATGAATTTAGAGTTTACAATTTTCATATCTTGGATATTTTATCCTTCCCTGACACAATATTCCTTCATTCCAAATACTAACATCTACTATTCTTCTACATTTTAGATGTGAAGAATATGCAAGAATTTTAATTAAAAAGGGAAAAAAAAAATTATGAACTTTAGTTACCATGCACCGGCCAATGCCTTTTAGCAAACGACCACAACCAAAAATTAGGATACATCTGAGCATTATCAATTATGTTCTGGACATTAAGAAATATTGATTTCTGCTATTGATTCAATCACTTCTTTTTTGTAACTACTACCTGAAATCACAAGTTTTGGAGAATAAAATACAGGTAATTGATGACAAAAATTCCAAGAACTATTGATTCAATTACCCCAGTTGTAAAAGCTCAGTTATCTTATATACATATGAACTGGGAGATTTGAATTTCCTGGAAAACAGTTGTACAATCTGTTTATAATTATGTCTTTGCAATGGAGCACAACTTGAGCATATGACAGAACACTAAGCTTAAGGCACACCCTGCCAAACCATTATTGTGCAGTAATTGTTGCATATCACAAGACCTGCATCTTCAGCATTCTCCTTCTATGTTTTTGGCGTTACCCCCAGATTTTTACCTTCTCTTGCTACAGGCAAAGCAGTCAAGGTTCAGTATACCTGGTACTCTGGAGGTACACTGGAACTTTGCACAAAATCAAAATCTCAGCACCAACTGTACAGGTTTTATATCTATGTCTTTAATGCTTCATTTGCAACTGATCTATTCTGTATCAAAAACTGCAGTAAATCATTGTGATGTATTTCTTATGCAAGAGAAAAGGGGAAATTATTGCCAACATAATTCTAACAATTCTTAGAAAAATTGTCATTATGCCCTACTAAGGAGTTACCTTTAGTCTTCAATTATTAGATCATTTCATACATTCACATTGCTTCTGATTAGGCATAAATCAGTTTATGTAAGCGTCACAAGGAACTCATAGAAATCTTAATATCTGCACGTGCTTTTTCTGAATCCCACGAACCCTGAATAATCCTTCTCTGTCGGTTCATTTAAGGATGGATTCTCATCAGGTTTCTTAATTTAAGCATTCAAAGTACATCTGCATAAATGTAAAGATAAATTTTAAAAAGATCATAATTTTCTTTCCTCCTTGCAAATGTACAACTTGACAAAGAAATGGTAGACTGAATTAAAATCTAGTGGGCACCATTTGAAAGAACAGTGGTGTAGAAGATTTTATTCTTTGCTGCTCTTCAATTTTGCTACAAAATAAGGAATTTAAATTCTTTTTTTAAACGATCAAAGTTTCACAGGATTTTCTGAACTAAATGAAATTTATAATCAAGGACTGAAGTTTTAGGATACGTACATTAAATATAATTTTCCAAACAAACATACTCTTGTTGGAAATTTGGGTAAGCCATTATCTGTTCTAATTAAATTATTTGTTTCAATTTTATAGTATTACCTGATAAACCTCAAGTGTTAATATATACAGCATATAAAATTTTATATAAAAAGAAGTAGGTTTCTGTCACACAATTGACAACAATAAGTTTTCATGCTTTTGTCAAGAAAAAAATCATAATGACCTTGACCTGACCTTGCTAAAAAAAAAAAACCAGATTGTCAAATCTAATTGATATTAAAACTTTATAGATATTATTGCTTGTTCAATCTGTAAAAATTTCATTTTTTTTCAAATACAGTAAAGAATGAGTCATGCTTAGAAGGCACTTCACAAACATATTAATATAAACATAATATAAACATATTAATAAATCATATATAAATAAATATGTTTATAAATATAATATAAACATATACATAAATCATCACAATTTTTTTTTGTTGTTGTTGAAATTTTCTGCTACGGGATATTTGAAATTCTGATTTTCTACATTTCAGCTAATTTAGACCTCTTAAAAAAAAAAAAAAAAATAACAATCACAAATAATTAAAACTTTAAAAACCATTGAATTAAGATGGAGAATATTTTTAAAAGTTTAAAGTTACGTTTAAGTTGTTTGAAAGTTTTAAATATTTCTTCCCTTATATAGTAAAAATCAGAAGTAAATCTGATCAACATGCACAGGATTTTTCTCTTTTTTTCCAAGGATACTTCTTACTATTCCCTTTCAATTTCTTAATCACATGGGTACATATACTCTACTGAGTTGATGTACCCAATCCTTGTTACACTTTTCCCCACCATTGATAACTTGGTCTCCAACAACAAAACCCACGGACTGTTTTAAAAAAGCCTCATCAAGGATTTCATATGGAAACCCTCAGGAAAAATGGGGTTGGGTATGTTAGCATGGTACCTCAGTGGTAGCTAACAAACATAAGTACAACAGGAGGTTTCAGGTTCGAGTCCCAGTCTGGTCAACACTTTTCCCTGCCTGTCATGCAAGTACATTGTATCTAAACTAATATCTCCACTGACAAAAACACATGAAAGACCCCCAATTTCCTTTGCAGGGTGTTTGGCTAAAATATCAAACAATAATACAGTTTTGCCTATTTCAGATGTAAGTAATTTGTCAATTAGTGTAATCATTATATATTAGCTGTCCTATAACATGAACCCCTTACCCAGATAACATCAATCCAAACAATCATAATAGCAATTTGTCTGTTATAACTCTGCAAGAAAAGATTTCCCAAGACATATAATACATTTCACTAAATAATCAACCAACCTAGACCTATATGAGGTCATGAATTACTTAATTTTGGTGGACAAATTATTACATTTATATATAAAAAAAAATTTGCCTGCTTAACGACAGTAACAATTAGGTAATCAAAGATTATGAAGCTCACCTTGATGAATGTTATCAGTATAAGTAATTCAAATCTCACATCATATTTTTTTAAAGTTAGTGTGCATCCTGAAAACAATATTCATGCAAGTTCTGTGTAAGTAGGTCTTATAGTTTGTTGGGAATTGACCTGTTCCAAAAACTTTAACATGGTCACTTATCAAGAAAATCTTTCATTTCCTACATCTGAAGCAAGTCTGGAATTGTCCATCCTTAGATGCACCATCTATGCAAGTTAAATCATAACAGACCATATAATTATAGAACTACTCGAAACATAATGCCATAGTTACTCATTTGGAAAAAGTAGGTCAGATCCAGCATCCGAAGCAAGTCTGGTAGTGTCCATCCCTAGATGCATCATCCATGCAAGTTTGGTCCAGGTAGGGCTTATAGTTACTTGGGAATGGACTTGCTCCTAAAATTTTAACCAGGACGCCA